AAAATACGAACTTTCTGGTTGTTATAATAAAGTAATAATTTGGTTATAATACCGTTTATTATCGTTTATCTTTAGTTTATGCTTAAGAATATCAAATAAAAATAGATACATTGTTTAATCTATACTTTATCTATGTAAGTGAGTCTTAAACAGGAACTTTAAATATTATAATATCTTACAACTTTATAAAGTAATTGTTAACAAAATAATAGTGAGTTAATTTTAAAGGCACTTAAATCTAGTTTGACATTTTTTTTTTAATTTAAATTGACATCATACTAAGACGAGGATACTGAGAATTAAAAAAAAACCGTAGTTACAACAATTAAAAAAAACAAATAAACCCACTGCAATCAATTTTCTTATTAAATCGCTAAAAATATATAATTTTTTGTTTAGTTCGTAAGTAAATTCATATTTGACTAATTGTCATAGCGAAAAAGCACTAATAATAAGTCAAATATTTATTACTGATTGAAGTAGTCAAATTAGTAGATTAAAATTTAAAAAAGTTTTGACCCAGTCGGGGCTTCAACTCGGGTCTGTCGCTTGTCAAGCGCATGTCTAACCGGTGATCTACTGTCACTTTTATAAAAATTTGTTTTATTTGTCTAAAAATATTTTAAAGCTAAATATTTGTTTTGTGTTGCTGTTTTCTGCTAAACTTTTTACATCTTTGTTTTTATGGGTCATTTAACCACAGAGCCTATGTATATGCAATTAACTCTGACAATAATTTCTTGTTGGCCGCAAGAAAACGATTAAAGAAATTAGTTACTTTTACTCTCAGAAACAGATGTTGACTTATTTTAAATTAGTCAAAAGTTAACTAGGTACTTAAGTAGTAAAAAATAACTATTTAAAAGTGAAAACGACTATTTTATTAGTAAACAATGCTGGTACTAATTTAAATAGTAGAATGTTGTCTATTTTATTTTAAGCGAGCAAACTTAATAATTATATTATAATTAAATTTGATGTATTTTATAAAATGATTATAGGTGAGTTTTGCATATTGATTTCAAAGCTTTGCTTGGTAATGCTCCATTAACTTTGCAGTTAAAAGGTAAAGTTTATCAAGTAATAAAAAATCCTTTGTGGTAATTAATTTTACAACTTAGGCAGTATACTTTGACACATACTCATATTTAACATCGTCTCTAACAACTTGAAATTACCCAATAACGTATAGCAACATAAAATGGCATGTTTCCCCATTTTGCTCAAAATGTACTCCTATTTTGCGAGCGAACGACTAACAGGGTTAAAAAGTGCCCTGGCGACGTGCTCATCATAATCCAATTAGTATTCGGTGTGGTGCTGCAGCGAACTTTTTAAATTAAAAGTCCTCGGGGTCTTCAAAGGGACTCGGCTGTGCGGTCCCCCTTTTTTAGCCGCGCCCCATTCCCCACCGCATTAATAGAATTGTTCAATTCCAAAGTAGCTATCGAACGGTCTTTAAATTGGTCGGCATGGCTAATAGTTTGCAAACTGTTCCGCACATTTTTAATTTGCCGTCATTTACCAGCTGCAAACTCGACTGTGCTTGTACAAAGTTTTGTTATAACTTTGTTTGATATTTTATAATCCGCTTAGGAGTTTTTTGTTTTTGTAAAAATTTAACGTGTACACAGTAAAAAAATATAATTGTTAATTTTAACCAAATAATAACCAGATTTTATGTTAATCTAGGCCCACATAACTTTTTGTTAAGTTTACAATCAACTCTAATCTGTTAACTAATTGAATAAGTAGTTTGTAATTATTACAGATATTTTGTAGATTTAATAACAAAATTCCATGTCAATTTCAACCATAATTCTTGTATTTTTTACAAACTTTTATGTAGACCCAGTATCAAAATTATTTGTTGTAAATTGGGAACTTTAAAAAAGAGAATTTGTTATAAGAAATGTTGCTTTATTAAACAATTATCTAAACATAATTAACACATACCAAACTAAATAAATGAACACAAAAATAACATACACAAAATTAAATAACACACCATTCTGAAATCATCAGATTATATAGAAATTTGGTACAACATAACTATCAGTACTACCAAAACACTTACTGATTTACTTTAACTTTACTATATCGCCTAATTTTAATTTGAAAACCAATAATGACTTTATAAACACTCCTGTCACCGTTAAATATTATAAACACCCGTTGACGCTGACACAACTTGTTGATAAGTGTTGGAAATGTTTTGATTGGCTGCCTGAAATCACGTGTACTTTTTCAACGGAATAATTTGTTAAACATAAACAAAATAATCTGTAACCTTTGAAATTAACAAAATGCTTACAAAATTGCATTTTACCTTTACAAAACTTTCGGTAAAAAAATTTTCCTTTGTTAAAATAATTACAAACCCAGGTTGTATACAAAAAAATTTACAAAATAAAATTAACAAACTACAAACTCATGTTAACAAATCTTATTTTTATAACAGTGTATTAAACATGCAAAGGTTTTAATGGTAGGTATATTATGTATCAAGTTTGATTGACACCATTTTAGTGATATTTTAATTGAGTCGTATAGATTCAAAACCCGCCAAATCCATTTATTGAAAGTAAAGGACAGTAGATATGTTTGCAATACATATTAATTATGTTGTTATGGAAACATGTCTTCTGTCCTTTACTTTCAATAAATGGATTTGGCGGGTTTTGAATCTATACGACTCAATTAAGCACGAGCGAAGCCTGCGAGTGTCTAGAAAAGTGTATAAACAAAAAATAATATTAGGTATAAAAAATGTAGGTAATACTAAATAATTTAAATATTTGTGTATAGCGACATCTATACAAAAATAGAGTAACCAAATTTATGGTAGGCTTTTAAAATGACAGTGTTAGTGGACTAACAACCGCTTAAATCCGATATAAAAGCAATGGAGAAGTTGTTTTAGGTACTCCACCTGAAATTGTAATGCTTTATCGGCCAATACTAAGTAGTATTGTGTTTTTGTAAAGGGCACTGTATTTTGACACATTTTACTTTTGACTAACTTAAAGCTAACTTCAGCCCCTGACTAAAACTGGCGTCACAACTTATCAATGTGTATTTAAAAGATCCCTTGGTGTCATAGAAACATGTACGATACCTAATAGGCATTTTAAATTTTGGAGTAGAAAAAAATATTAAACCCCAACAGGGTGTAAGAATATACAAACACACATGGTTTTAAATAACAGTTTGGTAAAATATTAGTGTTAAAAATTTAAATCAGTATTCTTAAAAATGTATGATAAAAAAATAAATATTTTTAATGACGAATTACCATTGGATAAAGAAATTATTTATTTATTCATATGACGATATATGCGAACAAAAATTAAACGTTTTAAATTTGCCCTTTGTTCTGCTAAATTCCCAAATCAAAAACTGTATGCACAAAATTTTCGATATGACGTAAATTAGATTAAAATTGACTGATGATACGATTCAAAATCACTTTTAGTGACGTAACAATGGAGTGGAAAGACTTGCAACAATGTAGTTATTTAGTTTTATTTTGTACAGGCATTTTAGGGACACCTTGTATATATATAGATATTTATTGTTTTATTTGTTTCTTTAATGCTTTTTTTTATTTTAATTAATAAATCAACCAGAAAAAAAGGTTTTGAATAAATTTGTTTAAAAATGTAGGTAAGCAAAATATTTAAAAAACACAAAAATATCAACAAATTTTAAATATAAACAAACAGATTGATCATTAAATTTTCATTTTTTGGTTTTTGATGATTTTTGCGCCAAACTCCCCCGCTTGCAGTTTAAAAAAATGTTTTCTTCCTTAATAAGTTTGTATATGTTACGGCTAATGTGTAAACTTAGCTAGTATACTATATATGTATATATATATATACTAGCTGGATAATTTATAAACTAGCCAAACTTTCGGCTATTTTAATAGAAAACGTATTTTTAACCAAATTAGCGGCTAGCTTACAAAATAACCAAGGATCTTGGCTAATTTACTGTAAATTATTAGGGAAACCAATATTCTGGCTTTATTAATAACTGATTTTTTAAATGCAAGCCTCTTAATTCTTTATTAATAAAAAAATAAAATTTAACCCAACCCAGCCCAACCTTACTTTTTTAATAAATTAGCGAATTAATTTTGGTGGTTGGGTTAGGTTGGGTTGGGTTTAAATTTTATTTTTTTATTAATAAAGAATTAAAATCCTTTACTTGCTTTTTAATTTTTTGTACTTCATTTAAACTATAATTACAATAAATAAAGTAAAATATATAAATACAAACCCGCCAAGCCAATAAAAAATCAATTATTAATAAATTACCCAGTATATTGGTTGGTTAGTTTGTACACTATCTAAGGCTTGGCTATTTTGTGTTACTAGAAATTTTGGTTTTCATATAATTTATAATAATACAGTAAATATTTTTTTGTGATAGATTTTAAATTGTATTATAGATTTACCTCATTTAGCACGTGGTATGGTGCTAGTGTCATTTTCGAGACAACCAAGTTTAAGGCCTTAAACTTACTAATAAAATAATTTTTTATTAAAATATTGAAAATAAGTAACTGAGCTCCTGTTATTGAAGTAATATAAAATATACCAATAAAATATACCAATTTTCCAAACAAAAAAATTAATACATACCTACATAAATAAACAAAAAATATCATATATACAATTAAATAACACACCGTTCTGGAATAATCAAATTATTAAGAAAGGATATTTCGCACTACCCACACTAAATATGTATAAGGAATCCGAATAACAAAAAAAAAGATTGTTAAACATTAACAAAATAAGCTGTAACCTTTAAATTAACAAAATTGCATATTACCTTTACAAAACATTCGGTAAAGTATTTTCGTTCGTTAAAATAATTACAAACCCTGGTTTTCTACAAAAAATTATGTTAAAATTACCAAACAAGCTTATGTTAAAAAATCTGACTTTTATAATTTAAGTCTAAAAACTACAAATTCATTTTTTTCTCAGCAACAACGGCCAGATTTGCCCAGGCTGCTTCAGCAAATGCACGCGCAACAATTGCCGGCCCATGCAGCCCCACCCATTCCCATGATGCCTCATCCAGGGCTGGCGGCACCCCCAAGCTCCGCGGCCAGTTTGTTGGGCCTTTCGGGCGGCCTGCCCGCCCAACATCCCCTTTCGATGCTAGCCTCGAAGCCGGACCTGCATCGACCGGATGACGTCAAATCCAACAGCGGTAAGTTTTTCGTGGGAAACCCCAGGATTCCCCGATTTTTTTGTTTTTTGTAAAAATACATTGTCGGTAAGATACAGTTTGCCTTAATTAAAAAATTATTGATTTTGATCAATTCATTAGTCTTTGGGACTGTTTTTATAAATTAAATTACAAGGTATAAAGTGTATTATTTGAAATAGGGCAAAACTTTAAATTTCGTTAGGCTAAAAGCAACGTTTTTGCGATATTTCTGCAAAGTAACTTTATAATTAATTTTGTTCGATACTAAGCATAAAACAATATATTTTAACATCGCAATTAGTGGTAATTAAGCAATCTAGCTGGCCAAAAGTCCAAATGTTAAACCAAAGAAATTCCAAAAAAAAAACACTTCTAATAGAATATCCAATAATTAAAGCCCACGATAGACGCCCATCCTCAGATGACTACCCCGGCAGGCCTCGCAGAGATATCAGTTAGTCTTATATCCCAGTGACAAAAATATTTTCAGAACCTTTTTTGTTGCCTCTTATTGCGAAAAGTGTGGTTTTAGTGATTAGTACGGATGAACCAGGTTTTTCCCATTGCGTTGATATTAATTTTTATATTTATCATATTTAATAACAGTTTTATTGGCATTATTTAAAAATAGTTTAGACATACATCAAGGTGAGTCCCGCTGATAAATTCATTTTAATTTTATAGCACCAATATTCTGCTAGTCAAATTAATTAATAACTAGTCCCACATTTCATCGGTATCTGAGATAAATATGTCAAAATATTGGATTTTTACAGAAATTTGCTTGTATTTGGGACCCAAATTTTGGGTATAGGAAATGGTTATACTAATCGAAATGTAATTCATTTTCCTATTTGATTATGTACAAACATGCATACAGTTCCATTAAAAATAAACAAGTTATTAATGTTTGAAGTTAACCAAATTTACCACGATTTTTCTCTGGTTTTTGATCATAAATATGAAAATTTCAGACATGGAATCTTTAAAACAATGTTTTAAGATTCCAAAAATCCTTACAGCATACCAGCAAACCGAATATCAAAAAAGTTATAAGCAATTTTTAATGAAGGTGCAACTGTCAAAATTTTATGAAAAAAATTATTAACTCGAAAACTATTAAGTTAAGGTATAGAGAATGGTACAGCAATTTCATTAAGAATTTCATGAGGAATTTAAAAATAAAAAATCTACAGGGTGTTCCATTGGAAATAACAAAGTTGATGTCGCTTCCGGTTAAACCGGAAGAGGAATTTTATTTAAAATAATTTTAAAAGGTAGATTAAATTGTACAATAATTGCTATAAAAATTTCAAATTGATATCCTCAGCCGTTCTCCGTAAACGTCTAAGGTACCATCGCTGGTGAGACACCCTATATATATATATATATATATATATATTAGGGTGGGTTAAAAAAACCGACTATTTTTTTTTTACTTTGTAGACACCTCTAGAGAATTCTCACCAAACATGAGCTCTTAATTTTGATAACAAGGTCCTCCGCTTTACAATTTTCCATTTTTTCCTCAGTATTAGAAACAAAAATTTATATCTCTTCGACAACTGTTCGTTAAAAAATATAAATTTTCATAAAACCCAAAAATTAAATTGAAATTTTTCGAATTATTCATCAAAAACTGTTAAAATAAATATGCATTGAAGTTTGACGATGAATATCTTTTAAACGCTTAATTTAATCGACAAATCATAAGAGACCATTTTTGTAGAGCAGTTAATTTCCTACAAAACTATGATTTGCGCGATTCATAAAAATTTTTTGTAAGCGAGTTATAAAATTCATAAGCAAAACAGAAATTTCTCTTAAAATAATTAAACTTTAACCTTCGATATCTTTTTAACGGTGAGGTTTACGAAAAACTTGTAAGAGACCTTTTTTGTAGAGCGTTCGAGTTATTTTTTAACGAACAGTTGTCAAAGAGATATAACTTTTTGTTTCTTATACTGAGGAAAAAATGGAAAATTGTAAAGCGGAGGACCTTGTTATCAAAATTAAGAGCTCATGTTTGGTGAGAATTCTCTAGAGTTGTCTAGTAACCGATTTTTTAGAGTACTTACAAAGTAAAAAAAATAGGTTTTTTTGACCCACCCTAATATATATATATATATTCATATGTATATATACAGTGTGTCCCCGGATAAGTGAAACGACTTCTGTAAATTCAAAAAAAAATTGAATTCAATTTTTATTTTCGGGGCTTCAGCCCTGCTTGATAAAAGATTAATTTTCAACATAATTTCAACTTTGAAAAATCGAGTATGCCTTGAAAATATTAAAAAAACTATTTTTTGTGAAGGTATAGTGCCTTTCAAATGGCATATACGACAAAATATTATTAAAAAAAGTTGTTTAGAATTAATATTTAGGCCCCTATACCAAATTTAAAAGTTCTTAAGCTGCTTAAATTTTTATTTATTTTACTATTTTTTGTGTAGGTTTAGTACCTTTCATATGGAATATACTACAAAATTTTATAAAAAAAGTTGTTTAGAATCATATTTTAGATCAATATACCAAATTTCAAATTTATTGGCCAACTTTGATATTTATTGAAAGGGGGAGGTGACCTCACAAACTCTGTACTTTTATATATGATACGGCTAATGTGCAAACTTGGATAGTTTATAAACTAGCTGGATAGTTTATAAACTAGCCAAACTGTCAGCTATTTTAATTGAAAATGTATTTTCAACTAAATTAGCGGCTAGTTTACAAAATAACCAAGGATCTTGGCTAATTTACTTGAAATTATTAGGGAAACTAAAATAGCTGGATAGTTTGTATACTATCCAATTCAATTTGGCTAATATGAAATCCAACATTTCTAGTAACACAAAATAGCCAAGCTTTGGCTAGTTTGTAAACTAACCAACTAATTCTCTGGCTAATTTATTAATAACTAATTTTTGTAATAACTTGGCGGGGTTTGTATTTATATATTTTACTTTTTAAAAACACTATTAATTATAATAATAGTATGTAATTCATTTAAACTATAATAATTATTATTACAATTATTATAATTAATAGTGTTTTTAAAAATAATGCATTATAAGCCAGACGGCCAATAAATGGGCATGATTAAAATGCAAATAAAGGATTTAAATTCTTTATTAATAAAAAAACAAAATTTATTTAATATTGTTAAATAAATTTTTCATTTCTATTTTTTTTTTGAAATTTTATCGGCGTTGTTTTTTCACCTTCCAAGATGTAAAACTTTTTATTGCAGAAAACGATAGCCTTGGTAATCGTCTACTACTTTGTTTTCATAGTAAAATTTCGTATCACAATTTTGACTTTTGCGGGATTTTATGAAAATTAATTTTTTTACAAGTTTTTTTTTACAATTTTTTTTGCATATTTTCGCAATTTTTGCCAATTTTTGTTGGGGTTGCTCATATTTTAGTTGGGTTTTTCTCTCATTTTTGCCCATTTTAGTTGGGTTTTTTGCTCAATGGGGCGGGGTCGGTTGGGTTGTTGAGTTTGGGTTTGAGTCCTGGGAACAAGGAAGCGTTAAAATTTTGCCTATGATTCATTTTAAAAACTTTAAAATGCACAAAACAATTCCTGTTAAGCCGGCAAAACGAAAAACAATGCCGTAACCTCACTTTTTTAATAAATTAGCCAGAGAATTGGTTGGTTAGTTTACAAACTAGCTAAAGCTTGGCTATTTTGTGTTACTAGAAATTTTGGTTTTCATATTAGCCAAACTGAATTGGATAGTATACAAACTATCCAGCTATTTTAGTTTCCCTAATAATTTCAAGTAAATTAGCCAAGATCCTTGGTTATTTTGTAAACTAGCCGCTAATTTAGTTGAAAAAATGTTTTCAAATAAAATAGCTGACAGTTTGGCTAGTTTATAAACTATCCAGCTAGTTTATAAACTATCCAAGTTTGCACATTAGCCGTAACATATATATTTGGCTTAGAAGATATTTTAAACACATTTTAAAGGTAAATACTAATTAAAATAATTTTGGCCAGCTAGATAGCTCAAATACCACTCTGTGCATCGATTGCACAATTAATAACTTTTCGTCATTCCTTAACTTTTCAATAAACAATTTGTACTACTTATGGTATACGTATATAAGAATGTTTTATAAAATCGCCATTTAGATTACGAGTTTTATAATTTGTTTGATTTAGCGTTTATGGCAACCACTATAAAGCAAAAATGTTTATTATGTTAAAATATTTTAATAATATATAAGTAGGTATTATTAGCTAAAACGATTAAACCTATTATTTTTGACCATGAATTTTATTCAAATTTAAAGTAAATTTGTTGATTTTAAGTAAATGCGTTAATATAACAAGCAAATAAATTTATTTATATAATTAACGTTATAGAGATTACCATTGGATTTGATATAACACACATAATAATTATATTAAACAATCTTTATTCAAAGCCATTTACTGGAATTAAAGAATTAGAGTATTAAATCAGAAGACGGTTATATTGTGCCCTTAAATAATAATTAAAATAAGCTGAGGCGCCTAAAATGCTTCTCGGCAATATTTAACAAAGGGTGAGACTTGAATAAGGAAATATTACGATGATTACGCTATATAAATATTTATTGTTTGTACAAGTGTAAGCAAAGAAGTATGCCTGACTAAGTTGCTTCTTATTTACATAAAGTCATATTCAAGAATTAATATTGTTAAATGTTTTGTAGCAAAATACAATTACTTGGAACAATATTTAAGTATTTATGTTTGCAAGCCCTGTTTTCTTTTACTTCTAAAATTAAGTGATCTTTAGATTATTATTTTCAGATTATTATTTAAACCCAATTATTTTTTTTAAGTGTAAAACTATTTAATTGACATAAGTTTTATATTCGTGGGCAATAAAGTGTGGGAAAAACGCAAAAGTGAATAAGTCAAACAAGGCAATTTTTTCCACCATAAATAAATTTAAGGCTTTTCTAAAAAATTGCTTTTTAGACATGATCTCTGTTAAAGGATTTCATGAAGCGTTACCTTAATAGTAAATATTGTATAAATAATTTACGTCTATTTTTGAATGGTGTCAATTAAAATTGGAAATTCAGGGTGCGCTAAAAGTACAACGGTGTGACGTCATAACTCGAACGACCGCGAAAGCAGAGATTTTCAAATAAATTTACTTAAATAATTAATAAAAAGTAAATTCGGCAATAAATAGTGAACTATTATTGTAATGGTATTTTTTAAATGTCTCTTTTAAGGTAAATAATAATCGTCTTAAAAAAATTCCACAAATAATGTTACCATTTTATGTATGCACAAAGCACTGAAAATGCACAAAAATAATGGGATTATATATATTTTTAAACAAAATTTTTCTGCAATTAAAAAAGGTTGTGAGTTTTCGGTATTTTTTTTTTCGACAAACATTAGACTTGCCAAATGCAAAGATCAAAGGGATTTGGAAAACATAGTAGATATGTATGAAAGAGGGAACAATTTGTTTGCATTGAGGTCGGTTCTTTTAAAAGATTCTTTTGAAACGGCGGTTACGCAAAATCCTACATTAATATCACTTCACTACTTTCTTGGGTTTCGTCTTTTTCTGTTTTTTTATGATATAAAGCCTATACGAAATATGTATTAAATATATAAATCGCATTATGTTTTCAAAATAAATTTTACTTAAATAATATTTTTTGATGCTAAGGGACAAAATGCCTTTTAACGAGTTTGCTACTTTTTTGAATTAATAACATATAATAATATAATTTTTCTACTCCCACATTTAAAATGGCCCTTTATCGTACATGTTTCCATGACACTAAGTGACCTTTTAAATACACATTGACAAGTTGTGGCTTTATGGCGCTTTAGTCACGGGCTGAATTTAGCAACAGGTTTTTAGTCACGGGCTGAAGTTAGTTTTAAGTTAGTTGACAGTTGTAAAATGTCATACAATCGTTAAAATAAAGTGCCTTTCTTGTAAAATAATACTAAATGTGAAAATTATTTTATTATCTCAATAAAAAAATACTAAAGTATTAGATACTTTCTCAACGCCAATATTTAAAAAGTTTATATAAACATTGCACTGACCTTTTAATTTTGCCGGCAGTAAACTATAACTTAAATTCGGGCACGGACTCCACTGTAAAGTGCTCATAAAACATTTTCTTTACTTTCACTGTGAAAAACTGTCAATTTTCAAGAAATACATTTCATTTATAACCTTTATTTATAATCTGTGTTTATAAAATAAAAAAATTTGACGGTGACACACAGATTCCCCTATTGTTTCATAGATGGCGCTCTACACAAATTTTTGATTAAAATTATTTTAAGAGTATAATAAGTATTTGTCGTAGAAAAAGTATAGAATGCACTTCGTTTATAAACTTTTCTATACACTCATTAATTTAAATTAAATTCGTGTATAAAATGGCCTTTATCAAACTTGATACATAATATACTATTAACTTGATGTACCATTTACTCAGATAATGCAAAAACCTATTTAAAACCTTCAAAAAGTTAATTTTTTTCCTGGTGCACATAATTTTCATATTTAAAGTCAATATAAATGTAAAAAAAATTTTGTATTTATTTTAAAACACAAAACTAGTTGTAAAGTTGATTACATAAAACCTTCAAGCAGCGCACTCAATCAAGAATTAAGTAACTAAGCTGCGAAAGTGCACAACTATATATTAATTAATTTGGCATGGCTTGGAAGCTTTGTTTTAATCTTTATTAGAACAAGCTGCAACAGTTACCCACTTTTAAAAGCTTATTTTATGCCACTTATTTTGTTGTTTGCTTTGCAGCTGGAAATAGCTTCAATAACAATTTTAAGCTTATTGTGTTCGAGAAATTCTCGTTGTGGTTTTATTAGTTAATTAATTCTTTTTGTGGTTTTATTAAAGATTAACCTTGGATAAGTTCCAGATTTTAGTTTATCTGGGCTAATTTTCATAGAAATACTGGGGTCACTATATTATAAAATATGTCAAAATCACCTTAAAATGGTTATGTTGGAAGCATTTTTTATAAATATTATCGATTTATTATTAAATTAATTTATTTTTGTTAGTCTTTTAATAATTAATAATGGGTTGACAAAGCGCTGGATGTTGGTTTAGTTCCAGTAATTGTTATGTCTGGTAGAAACTATCGATACTAAAGTTTGACCCGAGAATGCTAGTATTTCCTTCTTATAGTTAGTTTTTTTCAGTAAAAACAATCAGCTTCTTATGAGAAATGTTTATTTTAGGAAATACGAGGACATATTGATAAGTCCTTTCAATTTTCAAAAGATGGCGCCACAACTTTAAACAGTGGCACGATTTATAAGCACCATTATCCCATATAGACTTCTTGCATCATCCTTTAAAGGATTACTGTCAAAATTTCAGATTAATTTGTCAAGTTTTGATTTTATAAGTCTTTGTGTCGAGCAACAAAAAATCATTTTTCAGACATTTTTCCAGCTAACCAATCAGCTATAACCATTGAAAAAAATCAAGAAATTAGGCTGCCGCAACCTCTGTATTCTCCAGATTTAGCCCCCTGTGACTTTTACTTTTTCCAGAACTGAAAAAATCGTTGGTTTGTCTATTGGATGTATTGTTTTTATTGTCTATAATTTATATGATATACTACTGTAATATGATTTACACTCTATAGGTATTATTTATGTAATTTTAAAGATCAAATAAAGAGAATTATTAATATTATTATTATTATTAATATCCGCACCGTACAATGACGTACTAGAGTGGAACAATTCCGTATAAATTTGTTTTTTCGTTAGCGTGGAAGCAGACACTTTATAAAATTAAATGAAAAAAAAAGAAACCGTATCTATGCATTTTCCATGTCGCATCATTTAGGTACAAATCATAAAAGCACTGCTCTTCCTTGTGTCTTTTTCGCTTTTGGCCGGAGCCCTTTACCGCCCCACAGTGGAAAGTAAACATGTTTTAAAACATCCGAAATTATAGAAAGGAAACTAAATTTATTGACAACTAATAAAACTATTTTATCTATGTACGTATATAATATCAATGTTGTTTTTCTTCTGAAGATAAAAAGAATGAAAAGTTAAAATCATAGTTTTTGTTGGTAAAACTATGTGAATATGGTTAAAAATCTCTTTGGAAAAGCGGTATCTTAATGTTAACTTTCCTGTTTTAAGGTTAACTTATTATTATTAGTTTAAAAATAGATGTCAAGATGGCATTTACTTGTGAACCACTGTGTGCCGCAGCCGCCTCTTTTGCTGCATACGCTATAAAACCTGCGACACGTTTCATGCATTTTATCTCAATTGTTTTCGTCTCGATTGTTTCATGTTCCTGCGCTACTCTGATGTTGCTGCCATTCCATTTGTGCTCCTCCTGTTTTCATTGATCTCCATGTTGATGATGATGATTATGATGATGCAGGTATCAACTCAGCCGAAGAGCGTCACGTAAGTACCTACCTTGATTGAATAAATTAGATTAATTATAAAGAAGTTTTTTGTCAAAAAACCGTATATGCTAGTAGTATATGAATATAACAAGTATTCAAAAATATATAAAAAATATATCATAATGAAAACTTTTCATGCTCTCTTAAAATGAATTAGTCAAAAATAACTAATTATAAATCATATTTGACTAATTGTCATAGCGAAAAAGCAGTCACTAATAAATTCAAATTCTACTGAATGAAATAGTCAAATTAGTAGATTTAAATTTAAAAAAAGTTTTGACCCAGCTGGGGATTGAACTCAGGTCTGTCACTTGTCAAGCTTGTCAAGCTGTTGTCATAACCCATTTGGCCATCAGCCGGTCTTATGAAAATCAATTTTATTTGTCAATAAATATTGTTCATAATATTTTAAAGTTGAATATATATTAGTGTTGCTGTTTTGAGCTAAATTTTTTGCATCTTAATTTGTTTTTATGGATCATTTAACCATGGAGCCTAACCATACCGTTAAAAAATCAACTTTTGATTTCAATTTTCCTTAAAAATGACTGAAAATCGATAAATTATCCCCGTATTGCGACGTCACGATAACAGCATACATATACGATATACATAATATATTTGTGTAACAGGTGTGTCAAGATTTAAGAATGAAGTGTATGCAGTCATAATCTGTTAAAATCAATTTTTCACAACTTTGTATTTTATTTGAATTATAGTTATTTAAAATGATTCAATTATTAACTGTTATGTTTTAAAGAGGTTAAAAAATAATTATTCTTATAAATAAATGATCCTTATATTGTTATGTAATATAAAGTAACCATTGATTAATAATGGTTTTCGTAAGATAAATAAAGTTACAACGTAACTTTTAAATGAAAATTCAATATCATTTTTTAGGTTATATTATACCTAAAATATTATATTTAATATTCTTCTGAAGTATATAAATATAAAGTGAAAATTTTGTATTTTAAAAATAATGTTTTCTACTCGCACCTTGACAAGTTGTGGTTTTATGGCGCTTTAGTCACGGGCTGAAGTTAGTTTTAAGTTAGTTAACAGTTGTCAAATGTCATACAATCGTTAAAATAAAGTGCCTTTCTTGTAAAATAATACTAAATGTGAAAATTATTTTATTACCTCAATACAAAAATACAAAAGTATTAAATAGTTTCTCAACACCAATATTTGAAAAGTTTATATGAACATTGTTCTGACCTTTTAATTTCGCCGGCAGTAAACTATAACTTAAATTCGGCACGGACTCCACTGTAAAGTCCTCATAAAACATTTTCTTTACTTTCACTGTTAAAAAATGTAAATTTTTAAGAAATACATTTCGATTTATAACCTTTATAATCTGTGTTTATAAAATATAAAAATGTGACATTTGACCGTGACACACAGATTCCCCTATTGTTTCATAGATGGCGCTCTATACAAATTTTTGATATAAATCATTTTAAGATAATAAGTATTTGTCGTAGAAAAAGTATAGTATGCACCTCGTTTATAAACTTTTCTATACATTCATTAATTTAAGCACTCGCTCGCAAGCTCGCTCGTGCCTAAATTAAATTCGTGTATAAAATGGCGTTTATCCAACTTGATACATAATATGCTATTAAGAACTGTACTCAAATACGCTCTTTATGGTTTTATAACAAGTAAAAAAATCCATATACTTTATTCGTAAGTCTTGACATGTCCCTACCCCATTACATTTATACTTTTTTAAATTTTGTATAATGTTGTTTAACCTTCCTATACTTTTAAAATTAATTTTATTAATAGAACAGGGCATTTTTCACAAAAACTATTTTAATTAATACAATCCTTAACAAAATTCCAATTAATAAGCAAATCTTCGTTTAAATTATGTTTCTAACATTAGGTGTATTAATTACTTACCAGTACCACAATTTTCCATTCCTCTGCATTTTACTTGGTATTTGAGAAGTAATTACATTTCAGCTTCCCTGTCATGCCATAGTCTTTCCTGGAAGCAAATTGGATTTTTTTAAAGAATGCACAATATACTGCAATATTGCATTAGGTATGCATAAAATATGTACACATTATGAATATGACAATGGAAATGTAATTATAAGTTTTGTATGTTTAAAAAATGTCGTTTTTCCATGAGTTATGTTGTGAAGTATGCTACCAAATAAAAAATATTATGTATTTATTATAAAATTAGGATAAAACAGGATGTCCAGTTCATAATGCGTCAGACGTTAAGGGTGTCGAAATATAATGACTGGTTGTTTTTTGTAAGAAGTGCCTCATTTAGTTTTAGGGTTTGGTCTGTGCACTAATTGGCGCAAAAATGAATAATTTCATTGGATACATACCCATTGATCATGTTTTATAATTAGTTTGCAATTAGTCGATAAATTTAACAGGCGGAGTCGTGAGATCCAATTGGCGCAGCATCTCTACAAACACTGTTAAGCAAACATTAATTTACTTTATGCCAAGCGAATTATCAGCAGTCCTTGCAGTTAATAATGTTATCTGTTTCTATGTTTACTTTCCGAATAACCTATTTTTAATTAAAATTTTAATTATATGGAGTTTTAAATTGCACAAAGGATGATAAAATTTAAAATGGTTGAAATTAATTTCAAAATTTAAACTTCAAAAATGCCACTATTGCTCTACTTTTATAACCCCAACATCCCTTTTAAATGGAGTCACATCATTTGTTGATATATTAATTTTACATCATATATCCATTTGTTATAGATTAGCCTTAAGGCAATAATCAATTTTGCAAAATTGAAAAAATAGAGCTACGTCAGCCATCACGTGTAGTATTCCATAGTTCTATAATCGTTGTAATAACAAGGGGTGACAAATCTAGCTTGAGGTCGAGGGTACGTCACTTGGATTAAGTGTTCCAGCCATTTTAGGGGATTATTGTGGCTAATCCCCCTACATCGGCTCTACTAATCCAATCTTATAATACCTCTAGACGTTGAAATTTTTACCGAATAGTAATACGTTATTAAAAAGGTAATCGTAAAATTATGTATCAAGTTTCATAAACGCCACGAGCAGATCTTGCGAGCGAATGTTTAATAAAAACGAGTGTCTAGAAAAGTTTATAAACGAGTTGTAAACTCAACCATGATGACTATACAAAAGCCAACTGAATGGCTTGAGCGGGTAAGGGGTAGGAACGGACCGCGGGCTTAAAGTACCCTCCGAAGGACTAATACACAATAGGAGAAACACAAATAAACAGCCATACCCCTGGTGGGATTCGAACCCACGACCTCTCGGCTTGTAGTCAGACTTAATGTCATGAACATACGCACTTAAAAAAATAATTTTGATTTAAAATTCACTAAAAATGTACTAATGAAAGCAATTTATATTTTTTTTAATGAGAATGAAAAATGTTTATATTTTGCAAACGTATTAAAAAATAAATATGAATCTATTTTTAATAATAAAACTAAGTAAGTAAAATGTTTAAGAAAAAAACCTAAAAGTGAACGAAAAATATTTTTAAGTAAAAATATAACATTATGATTATTTCACACTGCATTATAAAATTAAAAGCTGTAAAATTAAAAGTTACAAAAACAGTTCTATAACATATTTTCTCTACCTTTAAAACCCCCATTACAGTAGATGTTTCCATGCTACTAAGTAATCTTATAAATACATATTGACAAGTTGTGGCTTTATGGCGTTTTAGTCAAGTTAGCAACCGGATTTTAGTCACGGGCTGAAGTTAGTTGACAGTTGTCAAATGTCATACAATCGTTAAAATAAAGTGCCCTTGTGAAATAATAAGTAAACATTATTTTATTATCTTAATGAAAAAATAAAACGTATTAAATAGTTTCTCAACGCCAATACCTATTTGAAAAGTTTATATGCAAGTTTGTACTGACTTTTTTATTTTGCCTGCAGTAAACTAGATTTAACTGAAAGCATTAGATATTTCGGGTGAAGACTTCACCTTAAAGTGCCCATAAAACATTATCTTTACTTTCACTGTAAAAACTGCTTCTATATCATCATTTAAACGGTTTTTCGTCCATTTTCAAGGGATAAATTTTGACGCCGGTAATACAGATTCCCAAGTTAGAAATTGTTATTTTTTTATAGATGTCGCTATGTTTAAATATTTAATTTAAAACATGTTTAGATAATAATAGAATATATTTGTCTGAGAAAAAGTATAGTATGCAACTCGTTTAGTTAGTTTTAGTTTTTTAAGACCTTAATTTGTAAGTGAAACATTTTAGAGTTACTTTATTTTACTTTTTAGTCCATCATCATTAAATCAGTTATACCATTTGAAGGAGTCAATGCAAGAAGTGCCTTAGTCACAAATAGGTGATTCTGAGATATTGCGGTTTGAAGGTTTATTTTTGATTATGAAATATTATACAAAATATTATGATGAACATGTGTGTTGTATTGTATTCTTTGTGAAAAGTGGATTGGACTTCCATGATTAAAAAAGAAAAAACGTTTTGTTATATCAAAAAATATATATAAAATAATTTGGGACTCAGGCACTTTTTGTGTTGAAATGTTTTTATTTTGTCAAAAACTAAGTGATTTTTTGAGGAAAAATTTGTTTATACTTAAAAAAAGGTTTATTATATTATAACGCCGTAAAAAAATATATAAATTGTGTACAAAACTTAAGACTAAGACATAACTATGAGGCGCCGTTTGTGCCATAATTATGATTTGTAAAATATATAATAATTTCTAAAATAAATATATATTTTGTTTAAAATATAAATATTTTATCTGAAATATATATATTTTAGCTTATTTTATAACATATATATTAGTTTTACTAAAATATAATAATATTTTTACAAAATAATATATATTTAAAATATTTATATATTTGGCCAGTTGAACTAATAATATAATTTTAATACTAATAATATAAACTCAGCTTACAAGACGTAACGCCAGGAGGCGCTGGCTGCTTTATTTAACTTGTCA